GTTTTTTGTTCATTGTAACTCATCCAGAGTTTGAAATTTACTAAACCATTAAGTGTAAAGTAAGAGCTAGGAACAGGTAAGGTTTTCCATAGAATCTATAAAGCAATCTAACTTGTTTGTATTTTACACTTACAACCATCTAACATGGTTGCTGCCAATAACTTAAAATGCATTAATAGGTGTACAGAACTGTTTTTTTTTTTGCGACTTACGTGAATGGATGGAACAATTAGCATCATGTTTATAGCTTATAATTACAGAAGCAACCACAGCACTAAAACTGTTTTCAAACACATAATACTGTTTGCCTTTTCGAATAAATTATAAGGCATTTAAGTAATGCCTATCATAAGTAATGCCTATCAGTTTTTCTGGTAACGCATGCGTTTTCGACAAATGAATATGTTTATGGTTCGTAATCTTCAAACGTGTTTGACATGGTCACTCCTTTTTTACTTCTCAAAACAAAACATATAAGCTTACAAAAGTAAATCAGGTTTACCGCATACAGAGGCTGAGTATGCTCTGTTAAAAGAATTTTGGATCCTCACTACGTTGTTAAAGTTCATGTCGTCAAGCCCAGTCACTCTCCCTCTCGCGACCGTGCGTCATGGTAATAGCCCTGCACTGTAGTGTCCATTGCAAAAGGTTTCGTCGTAAAGCTGTTATGTCCAAGCCACACCACGCCTCCCCATGCTTTCCATAATCCATCTAGTGTACTAGGACGATGGTTTTCCAGCGCCCGTTTCATTCTTTTGCTGCTTAATGTACACGACGATTGAATGGATATGTTGTGGAAGCAATCTATGCATACGTGACTTGAGTAGCTTTTCTAGACGGAAATCCTTTTTGATTATATAGTGTACTGTTGCATGTAGCACGTGGACGGCTTTTGCCTCTGACCTTTGTATTTGTGGATTATCACCTGTTACAAGACTTCGCACTTTGCTTACCACGGCCGGGGTACAATCTGTTGGTCTCTTTCTGGATAGTCCTTGTTTCCAATGTTGATCAATATTCCTTTGTTTTCCAATGTTGATCAATATTCCTTTGTTTTCCAATGTTGATCAATATTCCTTGTTTTCCAATGTTGATCAATATTCCTTTGTTTTCCAATGTTGATCAATATTCCTTTGTTTTCCAATGTTGATCAATATTCCTTGTTTCCAATGTTGATCAATATTCCTTGTTTTCTAATGTTGATCAATATTCCTTTGTTTTCCAATGTTATTATGGACAACAGATATCCACGTCTTTGAAATTCTAAATTCCCGATTTCAATACATCTTTATGATCTCAGTGTATGGATATTTTTCATCAAAAGCGATCAACTTTTTCGGTGACATCAAATTAACTACGAACCTCAAAACAGTGTCAAAATGTAGCTTTGATACAATCCGTCCCATCACGACTTTATACTGGCTGTGTTTATCACGGCATTGGCTGATTTGAATATTCAAACTCGTTTTGATGTAATTTTCTCAAACATCTTTATCAATCCTGTACAGTTATAGAAAGCGAATCTACAAAAAACGCTGCTATATTCGTATCTCTGGAACCACAGAACTGGTTTCATTTGTTGAAAAATACATGTTCATTTTTAGGATTAAACACGATTGAAGAACTGGTTGAGGTAATCATCATGTCTTCTTCGACGAAATAAACTCGAGCGCTTTCGAATATTTGACTATTCTTCTTCAGGAGAACAATGGGTGAATAGTATTCTTATTGGCACTCTTGCAACACCCAAAAATATTTCTCTGTTTTGTTTGATTGTTGTTAAGTGCAAAACTACACAATGGGCTATATATACTCTGCCTGCAACAAATATCAAAACCCGATTTTTAGCGTTGTAAGCCCAAAAACTTATCGCTGAGCCACTGGGAAACTATTTCCCTATACAAAAATAAACAGTATATAATGAAAATAACCGAAACTATATAATACTTATAAACACTTATATAAGAGTGTTTCATTACATAAAACCGCACATGTTAATGTTTCGTTAGGCAAACGTCGTGACAAAAGGGTCACAATGTTTTATTTTTTTTAATATTATGGTAAGTTGTCGCTTCTCAGCTTAGATCATATTGCTTGTTTTAATATCACTTTCTTATCAAAAGGCATAATACATCGTATTTTTAGATGAATTTATAGGGAAGTTTTATGTATTTAGATAAATGGTTAGATGCATTGCGCAGCTGAAATATTGAGCTATTTATGCTTCACTGATATTTACTCATAGTAAAGTAATCACAGTCAGCTGACCCCCCCAGTGGCACAGCGGTATGTCTGCGGACTTACAACGCTAGAATCCGGGTTTCGATACCCGTAGTGGGCAGAGCACAAATAGCCCATTCTGTAGCTTTGTGCTTAATTACAAACAAACAAAACACAGTCGGCTATAATCAGTACATAACGGAAATTTAATTTTATAGAGAGTATAGATAAATAATTATGATTAATTTCAAAGATTTTAACCAAATTTAGTCGTATGTTATGAGCTTTTTTTTCTTTTTTTTAAGCAAAACGTGTCGGTTGGCTAACCCTAGATCCTCATCATGCAAAAACTGCGCTGGTTAAGTTGAACCGCCGACCTCAATAATAAAAATATCGGTAAGATTAAGTCGTTTAAATGTCGTTACTAATTTTCAGTGGAGCTTGTGTTCTAACAAGTATGATCACTGAACATCTTAGTTCAGGATATATTTTTATCCGTGATATTCTAATCATGGATTTCTCACTCAAATAAATACTAAATGTTTCAAGAAAAACTGTAATGAGTAAATTACAAGTTAGTATTTCTATTCCTAATTACTTCTAGTGATACCATTTAATGGAATACAATAAATTCTAGTGTGAAAATGGTGTGAAATGCACCTAATGTTCGAGTGCTTTTCACCACGTCTTTTTTATGTAAATGCAAAATCAAAGGTTTTCATAAAATTATCCAAGAAAAAAAGACATTCTATAGTATTATACTGTGTCACTAAATAGACATACCATAAAAATTGATGGCTGACTATCTAGCTTTAATGTGAAAATTGGCAGCACTTAAAGCCAGTTATTTCAGGCACTTTTAAAGTTATTTCTTCTTCAGCTCGTTAGAAGGCGTCAGCTGGATGTGTCCGATAAGAAAACTTATGATTTAGAACAGGTTTCGTGACTTTTTCAAATATTCAAATATTCTGGTTCAACCAGACGTGAAAATGCTGCTTACTCTACATTCATACAGTCCACGCCGAGATAGTCAATGAAACCAGCAGTTTGCTCTCTAATGCTGATTTAGCAGTGTGCTGACCCAAGCTAAACAGGGCACTTTAGCAGAGTAACCGGAGATACGTCACTCATTTATGCAGGATAAACTGACTACTAGATTTATGAAATATATATTTCGCTCTTGTTCAGATCTCCCTATTTCATTCTTTTACATCTGAAATGCTCATTGAGTTTAGGAAGACTTAAGGCGCGAGAAAATTCGTAATTTTAATTTATTTTTAATGGTTTACTAATGGCTCTGTACGAGTTTTATTTGTTACTAATCGATAAATCTACCATAAATTTCATACAAAGGAAATCATTTGATATTGGAAATTACATTTTATCACTGGGAAAAAACAGAAGCAAATATAATAATTTTAAAATACCTTCTTTAATTGCATTTCTATTTTTGATATTGTATTATTGAGGGGAGTAAATACTGAACTTGAGTCATATGTGATATATTTTGACGTGTTTATGACGTCAAACACTGCGTGCCCTCAAAATAGTAAATTATTTCGATAACGATTGAAAGGAAGCCAATAAACGTATATAAATATGAATCAGTCGTAATGTATGATCATTTAATTTATTATTATTTTGACCTAAGAAACTGCAAACCTAACAAGGTTCACAGGCTTATTTATGTTGAAAAACTATTGAATTACACGTGACATAAACTGCGCTGCTGGAGGTCTACAAGAAATAATTATAGAATGTATATCGTGAGTTAAAAACCGAAACTGTTTGAGTTCACATATGTTTACAGGAGATGAGAGATGCGCTCAAATTAATTTGTAATTTTACCTTCACTTGTAACGACGTTTCTAAGCTAATGAACCTTAGGAAAGTCGAATGTATAAAGATATTATCGGGATGTTAACGTGTAAGGGATTTTAACATGTTAAGTAGTGATGTTTTTCATTTCATTCCCGCACAAACTTTCTGCCACGAATCCAGCAACTTGTGTCTAAGTATGTATGTATATATCACCCACGTTATGAGTTTACATCAACATCTAATTAAAACATTTTCCCATTAGACATTGGTTTACCATCATTTGAACTTGTGGTATATATATCACCCACGTTATGAGTTTACATCAACATCTAATTAAAACATTTTCCCATTAGACATTGGTTTACCATCATTTTAACTTGTGGTATATATATCACCCACGTTATGAGATTACATCAACATCTAATTAAAACATTTTCCCGTTAGACATTGGTTTACCATCATTTTGACTTGTGGTATATATCACCCACGTTATGAGTTTACATCAAGATCCAATTAAAACATTTTCCCGTTAGACATTGGTTTACCATCATTTTAACTTATGGTATATATATCACCCACGTTATGAGTTTACATCAACATCCAATTAAAACATTTTCCCGTTAGACATTGGTTTACCATCATTTTAACTTGTGTTTTTTTTTGTTGTTGTTGTTTTAATCGTACTCTCCACACCCAAACGTGAATGTAGTTTTGTGAATATTGGTCATTAATACGTGTTTTAAGTATTGTTTTAAGTATTGTTTTAAGTATTGTTTTAAGTAGATATACCGAAACTATTTGATATAAGTTAGGATACTGAATTTGAATCTCAACAATATATTGTTGAATATATATTTTATATATTTTTTATTTCTGTTTTGTTAATCTTAGTTATTACCCATCCATACGAAATATCCAATAGTTTTTAAAGTATATAAATACGAGAGGGAAGCCATGAACTTACCACAAATACATATTTATTGGAGCTATACGTTAAGGAGCGGTAAGTTGACTTAGAGGTACGAACAGATAGATAGCAACAAGATTTTTGATAGCTTTCATATTATTACGAATTTAAAAGCTAGAATTCAGGAATATTCATTTCACTGTTGCGTCAAAACTAGTAGGTCAAGTATTTATCTAAGCAATGTTTAGGTTCATAATATAATACGCTCATTAAAAAATCACAAGATACATACATATTGTGTCAGAAGAGTTGCAAACACCAATTGGTAGCTTGGAATGTCTTATACTACCCTGAATATTTCTGGAGTCGTTATGTCTTAAAAGTGAGTTGCTAGAAAGCAAAATTCATATGTTACTTGAATTAAACAAAGTCTCAACGGTGTGTATCTAAGAGATATTGAATTGATTTATACTACAACTTATTTTTTAGAAGTGTTCTTTAGGAATTGTAATATTTTATTGAATTAGTTTGACCTCTGATTTGTATTTTTTTTTTTTTGATAAAGTATATTTAATTTTATAATTATAAGTATTTATATGTTTTTTTTAGGATGTGGTTAGTAAGGAAAATATTCGTATAAATAAACTGACTTATTTGAAATAAATACAACTTAAGTATAGTAACAATAATTATGTTTAAGAAAAACGTAAAAAGTGCCTTAAATATGTATAACTAAACATAATTTGTAGAACAAGGTGGTTAAACTTTCATCAATAAAACAGTTTTGAGCCGTTGACGTATGATGATTTAAAACATCCCGATGTACCTTTCCTCTCTAAATATCCTTCACATCATAAGTTTTTACATCCAAAAAAAATGGTGGCTGTAAAGAAGGAATAATTGACTGTTCATGTTTCGTCTTCTCGTGTATAACATTGAAGAAGTATAGAAAGATGTAACGTAAAACATCACATCGAATTTTGAGATTCCTATCAATGCTTTTAACACTTATCCTTATGGTGGCTACAATAATCACGTACATATTCATACATCGATCACTTGATAAGCAGCGAAAATATTGCAAAACCAATTATTTACAGTAATAAACTTCTGTCAACTCAGTTTCAATTGAATTTGATGAATTAATAAACAGTGATTAAATTCTTCCATTGCCGATCTCCAAATTTCTCATTCATTATTTTCTTTTAGTGTAAATTTGTAGTTCTCTGCACACCAAAAGACAATTGGTATCACAGCGTTAAAATAGTCCACAACATCCCACAGAAAATGAAGATATAATTCATGTTGACGTCCAATATTGGATTGCCATCAGGAAGAATATAAATCCCACCTGATAATTTTTGGTTGAAGCTATACTAGTTGTATCTGGTACATCTGGAAAAATAAAAAATGTGAAATAATTCATTTGGATGTACAATACGCAAATTGAAATAATTCATTTGGATGTACAATACGCAAATTGAAAAACAAAATTGAAATAATTCATTTGGATGTACAATACGCAAATTGAAAAACAAAATTGAAATAATTCATTTGGATGTACAATACGCAAATTGAAAAACAAAATGTGAAATAATTCATTTGGATGTACAATACGCAAAATGAAAAACAAAATTGAAATAATTCATTTGGATGTACAATACGCAAATTGAAAAACAAAATGTTAAATAATTCATTTGCATGTACAATACGCAAATTGAAAAACAAAATGTGAAAGAGCATGAAAGAGAGCTGCCCGAATTACGACATACGAAGCATTTCGTTTTTATTACTAACCTCTTCTGAATTAATAATTATTATTTACAATAAAGTTGACTATAACGCATATAATAAATATGATTTCTCCGACTACTTTGTCAGCATTATTATGCATATAACCCGTACGCTTACCGAAACATCAAAATATGTAAAATATAAATTTGGAACGTCACAGCTGTTTGATTACAACTTACCATGATTCAAGTTTTCACTGATGTGCAGTCCCGAAGCTTGGTGATGTCCCCCCATCACCAGTTCTTCATTACTCATGACATACGAACGTAGTACGCTCGATTCACATTTCAGATTCATGTTGCCGTTTCGCAAGTGGTCTTCAGTGACGATAAATTTCAAACTGAGACTAGAGCTATCGAGGCCGTCGTCATGATGGGTTGTAAAATATCGAGTTTCGTGCTTTGCCTAAAACAGAGTTAATAACTCCAATCAGGATCTTGTGTAGTCAGACTCTTACGCTTTTATGTTATTGGAAATGGAAAAACATATTCCGCTGAGTATGTCGGAAAAATGGAAAATTATTCAGGTCAATATTATTTATATTTAAGGAAAAGTGAAAGCCAAGTTTTCAATATTCGTAGAGTTGAAACTTATCATTTTATTAACAAATGTAGTCTGTTTACTCAATAGTCACAATTCGTGTTAATTAACTCGAAAGATAAGCAACGCTGATCAGATATAACAGAAAGCAACAAAGGTTTCTTTATTAGCAGGAACTGTTAAATTTATTTCCTAACCTTAAATTAACGTCGACAAATACACATTTAACTTATAACTAATTTCGGAGTGAAGTTACACGTAATAAAAGTATCCTATTATATTGGTGATTGTATAAGCTATGTTAGGAAATAACAATGAGAGAAAAACGTGACATGAAAGTATAAGAATACTGTAAGCATAATAGTCCTCTCCTGTTGTTTTTTTATGGTTTATCTAACTTCTATTGCATAATATAGGCATCAATGTGTGTCTTTAATACTCTGAGAAACTTTATTGTACATAAATAAACAGATTAAAAGTCTGAGAGTACATTTTGAGAAGCCACAAAATGACTTTTGGTGTGTGTTAAAATACATTATGGCTAAGATACATACCAATTTCCCGTTGATATACCAACGTAAAATTGCAGCAGGTTTGGACTTGGCAGAAGTGCAGTTTAACATGACTGTGTCCCCAATGTTATACTTGGCTCTTCCTCCTGTTATCTTTGGCCCTTCAGTAGGCAAAACTAGAGTATAAAGAATATTTGAACAATACTCTTGTTAAACTGCCGTATTTACACGTATACGTCTTTCACTCACCTCATAATTTTCAATAATACCATGGCTACAAGATATCAAAATTCACTGACTGTTTTATCTGAAGCATCGGTATGTAAAGGAGGTAAAACCAGCTAGTATTAGTGGTAAACCTTTAAAAACAAAGCTTGTGCAAACTAAACGCGACATAACATAGTTCCAAGTGTTCGTGAATTGAATCTTATCTTTGAATATGCGACAAATAGAACGTGTATCATATATCGATTAACAGCACGGTCAATATTCTTATAACTCTTAACTGCAGAAGCTACACGGTCAATATTCTTATAACTCTTAACTGCAGAAGCTATACGGTCAATATTCTTATAACTCTTAACTGCAGAAGCTACACGCCAATATTCTTATAACTCTTAACTGCAGAAGCTACACGGTCAATATTATTATAACTCTTAACTGGAAAGCTACACGGTAAATATTCTTATAAATCTTAACTGCAGAAGCTACACGGTCAATATTCGTATAACTCTTAACTGCAAAAGTTACACGGTCAATATTCTTATAACTCTTAACTGCAGAAGCTACACGGTCAATATTCTTATAACTCTTAACTGCAGAAACTACCGGTCAATATTCTTATAACTCTTAACTGCAGAAGCTACACGGCCAATAGTCTTATAACTCTTAAATGCAGAAGCTACACGGTCAATATTCTTATAAATCTTAACTCTTCTATACAAATGTTATTGTCAGAAAGGTAGCTTTCTTTCTGTCTTAGATATCTTACAAGTTTGATTAGCAACTTGAGTGGATATAACTAGCAATCAAAACTCATTATAGTGATGGTGTTCTTCTTGACGGTTTAATAAATATGTAAATGTTAATGTGATTCTTGATTTAAGACTTTTATAGGTTTCTGGTATAAATAGAATAGTTAGAAATCTAAAGTGTCATCCACGGGTTCTAAGAAAAGTAAAATCTACCTCATTAGATACCTGGATTTTTCTTATATCAATTCACAAACAAGGTACAAATGGCATACTCACTGCACTAAAAGAGTCAGTGACAGTTACACATTGCAAGGCTTCACATTCATTCATATTTGTAAAACAACTACGGTTTATGGCAGATCAATATACATTGAATAGCCTTTTATTTCTTGGATCTCTCACCATATTATCCTCATAGAAATCCCATTTTCTAAAGCATTATTTATTGAAAATCTTTCTTGAAACTTTTGGAACTTGCGAATGGTAAACTTATCATAACCATTTGTGTTTTAACGGATTTTTTATTTGTCTGGCATCGCGAGAATTCGTCTTCTTAGAAAGAAACCCCGGCAAGGAAATATATAAGCAAGATTTAAATCAGTTCTTTGGTAAACTCCTACAAAAGTAACTCATCCACACTCTCTCTCTCTCTGAGAGAAAAGATTGCGTCTGAGAATCGTCTCTTAGAAATCTGAGAAAATAATCTTAGTAAGATTTAGGCAGCTTCATGTAAAAAGGGTTAAAATGAAATTCACCAGAAATGAAAATATTACGGTTTGTATATAAATGTTTCAATATCTGTCTTATGATGAGTATTGTTGAATGTTTCTCTGATTTTACTTAAATTCGATATGTTTTTAACCAATACTTCTTACCAAGTATTGTTAGTGTAAAAATAATTAATTTTGTTAATACACATTTCACATTTGAACTAATCTTTTTTTTTTTACGCTAATAACAATTATGCCAAATTCAAAGGGAGCAGTTAAACATTAACAAAATAAGTTTCATCGATAATAATCTACCTGCCCCCCAGTGGCACAGCGGTACGTCTGTGAACTTACAATGCTAGAATCTGGGTTCGATACCCGTGGTGGGCAGAGCACAAATAGCCCATTGTGTAGCTTTGTGCTTAATTACAAAATAATCTACCAGACATTATAATAGTTTAATTTAGTTTATTAAATAGTTTACTATGTAGGTTTCAAAGT